ATTAAATTCCAATAAGCCTCTTTCATTACGGCATTCTAGTAAATCTTGTTCAGCTTTGCGTCGTAATCTAATATTCTGAATATGTATTTGCCTACAACGTGCATGAATATCATCATCTGAAGAAGAACTTCGAATTTCCTCATCATCTGAACTAGAAGAATTCGAGTCATTAAATAGGGGCGGTATATCAATATTAGACGTACCTTCAATAATTATGGAGTTTGATGAATTTCCACTATCCTCATTGTCGCTAGAATGTAATTCCTCTCCAATATCGCCCAAAATATCACTAGTTCTTCTACTATGTCTATGGATTGTATCAAATTTTTGGCGCATACCCCCTGTTAGACTTCCAGTATCGCTAGAATCTGAGTAAAAAGATGAAGAGAAATTTGGTGAATTAGGCATTGGAACTTTAATCGTTAAACCTTTTGCTTCTCGTGTCTTATAGTCCCATTCAGAAAGGTGTTTTTGCATTAACCGTTTTTTTTCTGCCTTTTTCAAGGTATCAAGTCTAAATTTGAGTGCCTTTCTATCATCCCGATTAATCTGGAAAAGTTTTCGATAAAAAAGTTTTTCGCGCAACAATTCACCAACCCGTCTATGTTTATCTTTATATGAGAAATACCAACTCCGACGTACATTCTTTTCATTATAGTAAGCTATGGTCATCAATCTTAAATCATCATCAGACTGGCGTACCATTGAATTTAATCTCATAATAGTTTGTGCATCTTGGTTTATTTGAGTTTGTGATAAATTTGCTCGATTTTTTTCTCTATCAGCTATAGCTTGAAGCTTAGCCACATCTTTTTTAATATCAGTAAATTCTTCCTCAAGATTTTTTGGAAGCCCTGGTATTTTTCGTAATACGTAACTAATATTATTGAATGTATTTTGAATAGATTCACCAATGCTTTGGACCCCATCTATATTAGACATCTGAGCTATGTTTAACTTTTTATATTTTCTAGACGTTAAATCTTGAATCCTATTTTTGAGAGTATTTATTTCTTCTTGAAGATTTGATATTCTATTTTCTAAAATAACCAAAGATTCTTCTTTATGCTCTATATCTACCAATGCCTTCTGTATACGCTTTTCAAGATTGGAAATAAGGGATTTAAGTTCCTGTATCTCTGATTCATAGTATACAATAGTAGAATCTTGGTGAACAACGGTCCTATTACATTGTTCTAACTCTTTTATTAGATTCCGAATTTTTTTTTCATTTGTATTATTATTATTCACTTCATCAGTTAGTTCTTGCCGTAATTCCCGATTGGTATCTAGCAGTTGTAAATATGCTGGATCAAATTTATAATCCATTTTTTATCCTTAAACTATAGTTACATTGTAAAATGAGATAATTTTTACGCTAACTTATAGCGAAAATGAATAAACCTATTATTAGAGTCGATCCA